CAATATGAATATGCAAGTGCTATAGGAAGTCTTATGTATGTTGTTCAATGCACAAGATCGGATATAGCTTATGCAATAAGTAAACTTAATAGGTTTACTAGCAATCCGAGTAATGATCATTGGAAGGCCATTGTGAGAGTTCTTGGATACTTAAAGAAAACCAAGAACTTGGGCCTACAATATACTAAATTCCCGACGATATTGGAAGGATTTATCGATACTAGTTGGATATCTAGCATGGGTGAAAGTAAATCCACTTCGGGATGGGTATTCACTCTTGGAGGAGGTGCTGTTTCTTGGAAATCAAAGAAACAAACATGTATAACACACTCGACCATAGAATATGAATTTGTAGCTTTATCGGATACCAGGAAAGAGGTTGAATGACTTAAGGATCTCTTATATGAGATACCTTTGGGATCGAAGAATATCTCTTCAATACCTATCATGTGTGATAGTCAAGCCACGTTAGCAAAGGCATATAACGAGGTATACAATGGAAAGTTTAGACATATGAATCTAAGACATGACTACATAAGGAAATTAATCAAAGATGGAATAATTTCCCTAAATTATGTAAGGTCAATTGAGAATTTAGCGAATCCTTTAACTAAAGCACTAAATAGAGATTTAGTGGCGTCTACTTCGAGTAGGATGGGGTTGAAACTTCTTAACTAAAAAGGTCCACCAATGACGGCAACCCTACCTGTCATTACTCAAAAAGTAATCAACGAGTTCAAAGGGTAACAACAAGTCATTCGATATGTAGATGGCTGCAGCATTATTCAAATCCGCAATGACCCTATCCTAATTAAATAATGCTGGTTGTTACTGAAGTGAGGGTTGAGCTTAAAGTTCTTAATGAAGTTCAGTGTTAAAACACAAGTACTTCTAAAAGTAACAAAGGTACTGGAAGAACTTCACCTAAACTAACTTCGAGGTGGTGCCGCTTCAATAGAGAGTTGGAGTTTCTCTCTTAAAAGTTTGTCGAAGAGGATGAGCGCAAGACCATAATAGCGCTAAGCGAGTTGAGGAACTTGAGAACACGTGATACTTATGTGTGTGTTCTTATCGGTATTGTCACAAGGAATAATTGGTTCAAAACTTCTATGCTACCTCTAATTCCGACTTTACTTTGTTTGAATTACACTATGGTTAGATTCAAATCGAAAGATATCTAATCCGTATGCATAAGTGTCATCTTTTTGAATATGTGATCGTATTGATTTTTAACAAGTGGGGGATTGTTGAATATTTGTTCGAAATCAATGGAATGATAATGGACTAGAATCAAAAGAAATTGAAAAATGAAAATTTTGATTTTTTGCCTATGCATACGCACAGGCTTCTTTTTATGCGTACACAGATGTGTTTTGGCAAAATCAGAATTAAATTTTGCTTCTACTATGCATACGCACGGTTTATATTATGCGTACGCATAGTGTTAAAAAATAGCCATTGGCTAGTTTTTCAATTTGAAACTTGGGAGTCGTTTTGGATTAAAAGTTGCCACTTTTCATCTTGTTTTGGCACCATTTCGTGATGTATTGATTGAGGCCTATAAATAGGTGATGAAGATCAATACAAATACATTACAAACAAGAAAAACATCTTGAAATCCATATATTGTTCCACAATTAATTAAATCCCTGTTATAACTCATATTCATTTCTTCTTTATTGTGTTCATCAAGTTTTGACGGAAAATTTCTCGTGCTTTGTTATTTTCTGCATCAAAGCTTGTTAAAATCTTTCAAACCATTTGCCATAACACCCTTAAGCATCTCATTTCATATGGAGAGGGGACAAATATAGTTTGAGGACAACGATCCCGTGTTCAAACCTCAAATTCATTCTTGATGTGTTTCGTGATTTCTATTCATTTTGTTTCTATAATTTTGTTGTTGTTTCTTCTCCAACCCCTTATTTTCCAACAGATTATGCATGTGAGTACATGCAAAAGGCGCCATAACTGTATTTGAAACCCGCACAATAACAGAAGGAAGTGATAAACTTGAGAAAAGTAAAGTAACTTTTTATAAATGAAGAAAAATGCTCTATCATTTAAAGAATAATCATAATCCTAGTCAATTTGTGAAATTATTGTTACATTGTTCGATAAAATGATCTCAATACTACGTAGACAGGTGTTAAGCATCAGTAGGATCGAATATCATGAGTGACAGGTGCTTGTCAGTTCGAATAATGCATCGAGAAGTTTCGTAGCTTCTTGATAGAGTTGATGTCAAGTAGTTAAAAATATTTAGTTTCAAGTGGTCGATAAATAAAGAGGAATGGCCACAGAGTCTTGCTCTTTATTTCAAATAGATTTACAGCAAAATCCTCTCCAGAAATGATATGACCTTAGAAATTACGTATAAACTAAGGTTATCCTCAATGTGAGATGACATTAAATGATAAGGTCAATAAATGAATTTCATATTCATACACTGAACTGGCCTTATCATTTTACCTCACGCCACCTACTATATCAAATGGAGATGATTGCCACTCTGTACATGTTGCATTAATTCTTTAGGTCAGATCCATTGACATCTAAACTGATGTTGAATACTAATAGAGATAAACTTCATTACTCTTCTTATTTATAGGGGTATCATTCAACTTTATGGAGACTTCAACTTTAGATCTAAACTCTACTTGAATGAACCAGCTCAGAGTTTACTAGTTATATTAATAGATTTTGACTAACATTTTTAAAATTAGCCTAACTTCATGAATGCGAACCTTTACCTGATAAGCTGTATAATTACAAAATACCCAATAATCAAAGTACATGGGAATAAAAATCCTATTAACAACATACAATACCAAATTACATGGTATCACTTGACAAATTTCAAGCATTAAATGCACAGTTACAACAGTAAATTATTCAAAATACTAACACATAAATTACAAGTTGAAGATTTTTCTAAAACCAATTCAAATCCCCATCCATAGCATTCCTCAGGTTCCCCCCAAGCAAGGACATGAGTCCACCACCATGCACCCTTCCCTCCGGAACCACATAATCCAAGCTCTTTCCATCACTGGTATTGTCAAAGTTGCCGGCATTGCTCGTTTCCACTTGCTTCTCGGGACATAATGAGGCCTTCATCGACAAAGGAACCAATACCTGAGGAGGTATGAGATGTGCCCTTTTTGCTGGTTGTTCAAGTGAATCGGGAGAATCCGAGATCACACTAACTCCGGATGAAGAACAAGTGTTGTCAAAGCTGCTCCTAGCAGTAGAAGCAGCTGGCACCAATCCGTGGAAGAGTCGAGCACCAAGCATTCCTCCTTCGTTCATTGCACGTCCTCGAACCAGGCTGCTATGTGCAGCACATAACCCACTCTTTCCTCTTGCAAACTTTTCACATTTTCCACCGCCCCAGTTGCACCTCTTTCCACCACCATGTGCCTTGCAGAAGTCGGTGCTACCTTGAGCGCTCTTTCCACAGCTTTCAAATTTGCAGCGCTTTCCTCCTCCGTGCCTGACACAGGAATCAGTTCGGCCGCGAGCACTCTTGCTACAGCCTGGAACAACACACCTTTTTCCACCGCCATGAGCAACACAGAAATCAGTACCTCCGTGCACACTTTTTGGGCATATCCCACCACCATCAAAGAGGCAGCGTTTTCCACCACCATGCCCTTTGCAGAGAGGCGTACTCCCCTCGGCACCTTTGGTGCACCCTGCAAATATGCACCGTTTTCCACCACCGTGTGCTTTGCAGAACATGGTGCTACCTTGCGCGCCCTTGGTACAACCCAGGAATTGGCATCGTCGTCCACCACCATGGGAGATGCATAAGCCAATCTGTCCCTCAGCACTTCGACTGCAACCTTCCACCTTACACCTCTTACCCCCACCATGCCTGATGCAAAGACCCGACTTTCCACGGGCAGCTCTAGTGCACCCTCCTGGATACCCACATCTTCTTCCACCACCATGTGCTATACAGTGGTCCGTCTTCCCTTCAGCACTTTTCGTGCATCCAAGATGCTCACACCTCCTGCCTCCTCCATGGGCTTTACAATAGGCAGTTCGGCTCTCAGCACCTCTATTGCATCCAGGTTTCTGGCATCTGTGTCCGCCCCCATGGCCAATACAAAGACCCGTTCCCCCTCGCGCTCCTTTTGTACATCCAGCAAACTTGCATCTTTTCAGGTTGATAGTTCTGAGGTCTGAAGATGCCCCGGGTAGCGTTGGTTCAGATGTGGTGCTCGTTGAATAATTAGAGACGCTAGAAGGTTCAGCATTGAGCTCGGAAACATAGCAATGGGATTTTGCACCAAAATTTGAAACCTCATCAGTCCTCAACGAAATTTTGTTACTTTCCATTCTAGGCGCCAAAAGTAGCGTCGGCATATAGCCACCGGATTTCTTGGCAGACGTAGAACCCTCATCAACAACAGGGGTTGCAAGCCTATGACAATCCGAAAACATTCGATCCTGGTGGTGAAGTGCATCAGAAGCATTCTGTGTAGAAGCAGAAAATTCAAGTATATTCGAATCATCATCTGTGTCTCCAGACAGTCCTAGTTTCAGAATCGAATCATAGTCAGATGCCAACCTCTGAGTAAATATGGTTGTCGAGCCTTTGTTTTTATTACCCCGAACAGCACAATAATCATCAGAATAAGTACCAGGTGTTGGACCCAATCCAAGCACTAATTTGCACCCATCATCAGAAGCATTTGTACAGATACTCTGTCCTCCATCTTTTGTTTGACTGCTCCCTAATGCAGCTGTATCACGTCCCCCATAGCCAAAACAATCCAAGAGTAAAGCGGTATCCCCAATATTGCCATTCTTTCTCAGCTCACCGTTCCAAGAGGGAAACTTTTTATTCGTATTCAAATTCATCATGATGCAAATTTTATTCTGTAGGAATGATGGGCCAGGTTGCAGGAGAAACTAACAGCATCCATAAATCAAAATGAAAAAGGCAAGTGAAGTAAATCTGAACAAACTACCTCCACCACTCACAAAACCTGAGGTGTCCGACCTGTCCATTATATTAATATCTTGTGGAAGAGCCGGATATTCTTCTCAAAGCACTGTGTTATGAAGAGAATATGATTACATTTTTGGGACAGAAACCTGCCCACTAGTCTTGCCTCGCAGTGGAAAGTCTTCTAAGATTCGTTGACCTGACAGAAGAAAGAACATAATGCCAAACTATTAATGCTTATACAAACAGAGAACACTGAAAGTTCTAAAATGCTCGCCAAAAACAGACAATCAACAACTGCAGAGTTATGATTTTAGTTAATTCATTGATCAGAGAAAAAGTAAATGGAACCTAAAACCAAAAAAAGAACTGGCAACTGATTAATTTGGATGGGTTAGAGAGTAAAAATTCACAGGTGTACGACTTAGCCATATAAATATTATTACATTTGTTTAAAAAATGAAATAAGAGAAGGAAAACAAATTGCAAAATATAAAAATACGATTTGCCATTTAATTGACACTTTGATTTTGTAAAACCGATGGTAAAATTTGAAGTTTTAAAATTCCAAATTAACAAGTTTCTTCAGGACAGTATATGGGGCCATCATATACTAGCCAGGTAATCTGCTAAAAGTCTTGATCATGAAGTAAACCTTAATCCAGAGGTCACAAGTTGGCCCATTTAGCTTCAGAACAGAGCAGCAACCAGCAAGGCAGTATTAATTCATTATGCTGGGATGGAAGGCAGAGTTAAGGACAATATATGTAACATTGAGATGCAAAGAAGAATATTACCATATTGGCACATCCCTGCCAATATATACCAAACTCGAGGCCAATTTTTCACCAGATTCCGAATGATATTATAAAATAAGATAGTTTCCCATTACTTCATCACCCACGACATCGGGGATGGATACAGGTAGTCGCTTATAAGCATGTAACATGCATGAATAATTATTGCATTTAAAATCAAAGTCAAAACGATCATTCATTTGTTTTCATTGGAACTCATATAGTTATATAGTGCGCATGTTAAAGAAACAGTGAGAAGATGAAAAGGTGAAAAATGAAAACAATAACATACATACAAATATGAGAAACATAACATCTATTTATAAGGAAGCCTAGGTGTAAAACTCTCTCACTTATAAGGAAGCCTTAGTAGAGACTATTGAACATGATTAAGTATTTAAAACTCAGCAAAATCAAGCAAATAGATTGGGGGTAGGGGAGCTACAGTAATTATGATATGAATTCACCCTAACAATACTGGCATTAAAGGAAAAGCAAAGTTAAAACTTCCATTTGAAAATGCTATCCCCCAAATGGAAGTTGGTACAAAAGCAAAATAGATGTCCGCTACGAATCCAGTAAACTTTAAGTGGGTACACAGACAATGCAAAATGCTCAAATTCAGGTCACCATGTTTAAGTCAATGAATAATGCATAAGTTGAAGGATCCATCGTTTATCTACTATGGACAAGGTTGTCAGGTAGTCATACCAACAATAATAATGCAAGTGATTATACCAAATGCTTAAAGTAGAAGTTTTCTATTTAAAATGTATAACCAACTGTTCAATATGGAGAAAAAGGACAGGTCAGCTGAAGGTGAAAAAGACTCAACCAGCTGTCTCCACAGTGTAATAGAAGCACATCATTTTACAATATTACATCAAATATTACATAGAATAATTTAAAACATGTGGTAGGCGAAACAAAAGATTCAAATCAATTGAAATTTGCTTTGACCTGAATGTATTTATCTCCACATCTTCTTCTCGTGAAACTACTGAAGGGGGAAAAATCTATAGGCCATGAATTGATGAAAGGAGGAATGATGAATGAAAAAACTTAAGGACAAGAAGAAGAAAGCATATCAAAGAAGGAATTTCCTCCATATTGAAAATTTCAACATGAGAATTTGACAGTACGTAGAGTTAAATTAAACACCTTAGAAGCCTGTTTTCTGTTGTGAGAAATGTATCTTAAGTTAATCATAAGACATAATTAATTTGCTGAATTGTGTTTAAATAAAGAGATTAGATAGAAATTGGCGAAAAGAAGCCCCAAGAAAGAAATCAAGGAAAGACGTAAAATAAGAAAAGGCATTCCAATAAAACGATAGGCATGTTTTATGTTACTCTTTTAACTTTTTCAGTTAGAAACAACGTAGAATTTGAAGACAAAAGGTGGAGAATATAGAACTAAGGGATATGATAACCACCTAACAACGCCACGGTCATAAGGCAAGATGTCATATATTGCTCACACACTCGATAGTTAATGAACCATTATGGCCAATGAAAACTATGAGAGGATTAATATTCCCCGTCTACTCAAACACCGACAACCTTTCTCTCCTTCTGATTGAATGTAACAATTACTTTAAATCCTAAACCTTTGAAGGTGTATTCAATTGAAACTTTTAATGAATTTTTGGGATTCAAAAAGTTTAGGAGTATTTAATTAATACTTTTTGAGATTCTCTAAAAGTCACGGTTTATTCAATTGAGACTTTTATAAACTTTTAAAAAGTTTCTAAAAGTTACAGTGTATTCAGTTAAAATTTTTGAGAAGTCTCCATAAATTTTGAGGTATTCAAATTTTAAAGACTTTTAGATACTTTTATAAAAGTCTCTAGAATACTAATTTTTAAGCAGAAAGTATTCATATAAAATCTTAAAATTTGTCTCTTATTAATAACGAGATTTTGGGAGACTTTAAAAAAATAATAATAATAATAAATAAATAAATTCAATCTTTCTTTCCTTTAATCTTCTATGGACATGTATGATTAAAATTTATTTTTTTCTATCGATTATATTCCATTTATCTTTCTTTCTCTCTTTCTTATTATTTATCTCTATTTTCAATGAAAAAAATAAATTTGCTTTTTGTAACTTTTTCTTTCTTTTTTCATTCATTTTTTTTTGTGAAAGAAAATCTATTTTTTTATTTAATTATAAAATTTTATAGGAAAATTTATAATTAAATTTAAATATATTGATTTTTATTTATTTTTAAAAGTATACTATACTATATATATATATATATATATATATATATATATATTTATTATTTATTTAACAAAGGTCTTAAAAAAAATTCAATTTCTTTTATTATATGGGAAGAAGAAGGAAAAGGAAAAAGGGAATTGTTAGTTCCCACTTCGTATGTGAGAATTTCACACCAGATCTAAGTGAATTATATTTCAAATAAAAGTCTTTAAAAATCTTTTGAATTCCACAAAAGTCTATAAAAATTTTAAAATGAAAATTCATAGAACTCTACAGAAAATTTCTACTAATTCTATACAAATCTATAAAAGATTCACGAAATCCTAAAAATTCATCATTTAAAACAAGTCCATCAAAATCTTCAAAAATCTCAATTGAATACACTCCCTTAATTAAAGATTTATAAATACAATAGAACAAACTTATGAGTACAGTTTTGGAAATTTTAATCTTAAATTATTCATTTGATATTTACTCAACAAGATTTTGACAGCTCAAAAACAATATTTACGTCTATACCATGCAACCTAATCTCATTTTAACTCAGTATTCATGTCTGACTTTCAGATCAAATCCCTTTATTCGTCTGCAAAATTTAGCAATAAAACATGAGATCTAAAAGCTTTCCATAACAAAGATTATAAAATTGAACACTTGAAAAAGAAAGCCTTGATTTTTCAGGAGTTTATGCTTAACTTCTGGCAGCTCAAAATACCCCAAAAAAGGGGAAAATTTCCCATCTTCACATACTTAGAACTCAATGAAAATCAAAATAAAAAAACCCAACAACTATTTGCCGTAATCTCAAAGCAAAAGAAATAGAAAACCCACATAAGCATAAATACAGAGGACCTTAACAAGTATTCAATTACTAGATGACAGGTCTATAATTGAATCAACTAGAAAAAACTAAAGAAATAGAAATTACCAGTCAGATGAAAATTCTGGAAATACGGCGACTTTGGGAAATCATTCTAGAAAACCCCAGTAACAGCAATTTAGTCTAGAGAGAGAGTGTGTGCGCCTGAAAAAATTTAGGGAGAGAGATAGAGCAGCTACAGCTACAAGTTGAATTCCAACAAAATGTACAAAACAGCAACTGGAAAGAGAAGGGAACAAAGCATAATTTGATAATTAATTAGTGTTTTAATATAAATTTTTTTAATTGAATTCTTGATTAAGTGCGTCACAAGTGTCTAATCATATATCTGAGTTTACCAGAAATGCCCTTTTGTGATGGTTTACTTTTTAATGAAACGAACTAGTTTGTTGTTATCGATTTTGAAAGCTGTCCGCCCCTCACAATGAGAGAGCCACAATTGTTTTATTCATGTGTACCTCCTCAGCATGTGAAAGGGCTATAAATCATGATGTATCGGTGATTTTTTCCTTCTTGTTCTAACCAATTTTGTCCCCGTTGAACTATAGGTCTCTCACTCTCTCCTTCGTTTCTCGAAATTCTATTGAAAAAGAGTGTATTAAGTTTGGAAAGTGCTTATAGAATACCTAAATAAGCGTTTATAAATACGAGTCAGACATAGACTTAAATTCAAGCCATACTAGATCAGTCCAACTTGGTTCTAGGACAGGCCAATCCATTCGAACCAAACCCATATGGGTAAATCACATAGTTTCCCACTTGGTTTTCTCCTGCATTATTTTCAAAATGAAATTTTTATGCCTTGTCTTGTTTAGTCACCTTTTATAATTATCGTCTTATTTCATCATGTGTATATTTGCTAGGGATATTTCTAGATAATGCAAGTAATTTTCGTGTTCATTTCTTTTAAGTTCGAATAGTTTTACATATGGAAATCAGTACTGCAACTAGTACTATTCATTTGGAAATGAGCTGCAAGGGTAATTTGGACAATAGCTCGTGTTTTTTAATTGTTGAGGACAGTGTAGGAAAATGAGCGGTGGATATGGAATTGTCGTGGCTCGTCCTAATCCCCCACCCACTTTGATTTGTTGCTTCGGAAATAAAATATAAAAATAAAAATAAAAAAATCTGGTGACTCAGTTGACCTGGCGTAGTGCGGCACGTGGTGTCGGCTTTGGCGGCCCTCGCGTAATGTGC